GCGCTTGACACACTCGAGGCTAGCATTGGACCTGCACTGGAGTTAAGCAGATCTCCCAGGCCACCGTGTTTTCACATCAACATTAGCTTCGTTTGTTGTGTGCTCCAGGGAAAGTGAGGTAGACGGCAAGTGGTGATAGCTTGTCCGTCCCTTGTATTCCTCCATGTTCGGGTACATCATAGAGCTCAAGGTCGGACTCAGCTTGGCAGACCAGGGGAGGCCCGGTGCCCGAAGCATTCGATAGAGTTTTACCTTTAACTTAAGTTAGTTAATTAAGTCCATAGGAATCCTCTCTAGCTTAAGCCTAGCATTTATTGTTGCCCTTGGATAGAATCCCGTTCGTATATAGTACACACATGTCCTTATGTTCGATACCCTTGGGTCACTCTAAGGGGAAGTGCTATAACGGTATCCGTGCGCTTGCGGATTTATCTATGTGCGTAGAAAATTCCAACATTGGCTTCATGGTGTCCAACCACGGCTTTGAGGCAAATCCTGGCAAAATAGCCGTCATCCACTCAATGGAGCCGCTTGCCGACTTGAAGAAGCTGCACAAGCTGACTGGGTGCATGGTGTCACTTAACCGCTTCACGTCCCAACTAGGCGAACGTGGCATGCCATTCTTCATGCTCCTCAAAAAGTCTGATGACTTCACCTGGACTCCAGAAGCCCAAGCAGCCTTCAACGACTTTAAGCGGTACCTAACAAGTCCACCCATCCTCACAACACTCCCAAAAGAGCCGATTCTGTTATAGATTACCGCCACCTCAAGCGTTGTCAGCACAGTCCTAGGTGTCGAAGAGAAGAAGATGGATCGATCAAGAAGATACAACGATCAGTCTACTTCATTAGTGAAGTCCTTAGTGAGTCGAAGACGCGATACACGCAGATTCAGAAACTACGCCACGCAATATTCATCACGGTCCGCAAACTCAGCCACTGTTTTCAAGCTCATCCGGTGTCAGTCGTCACCTCTCACCCCCTCCGCTATGTCATGTTTAACAAAGAGGCCACCGGACGCATCGCCAAGTGGGCACAGCTGATGGCGTTTGACATCTCCTTCCAACTTCGGGTAGCCATCAAGTCTCAAGTGCTCTCTGACTTCATCACTGAATGGACGGAAGAACAACAACCGGGTACACCAGCAGGCCTCCTAATCTCTCCCAAGGGAGAAAAGCTATGTTACGTCCTCTAGCTACACTTCCCTGTCCTCCAGCTACACTTCCCTGCCTCCAACAATGCTGCTATTGGTATTTCTTACTATCACATATAAATCCGCAAGCGCACGGATACCGCTGTAGCATTTCACCCATGAGTATTCCCAAGGGTATCGTATTTATATTTTCACAAGGAATGCGGTGGTATGATGACATGCTTATATCTCTTTAATCAATTAAAATTAATTCACCATAGCCCAGACAGATGTTAGGATAATAATTGATGAGGTAGTGGACACATAGGAGATTCACCTCTAAAAGAATGCGTAACATCCTGAAAATTCCTAATAATAAAAATCACTAAAATTTCGAACATTTTAAAACTTTTGCATCATGCTAGTTGTTATGATTGCTATTGCTTGCCAAACCATAAATGATCACAAAGTAAAGTAGAGACCTACGCTTGAGTAATAAATATAATATACGAGAATACATTATTTATTATTAACCCTGTAAATATTTATGCACAAAAAGCAAAGCCAAATAAAGTACAAGTTAATTATTATATTAGTTAATTTTACTTTGGGCCACCTTTTATTACCGATGTTTCGCTTTGGACCACCTTAGGACCAATGTTTTCACTTTGGACCGGGTATTTTTACCTTTGTTTCACATTGGACCACCCTTACTCTTTTATCCATCTACATCAAACTTGTAATATGTCGAAGAAATAGTCTTACATATAACTGTGGCAGTTCATCGACGAGTAGGAGACGGCGTAATCAAGATCGTTCATATGCTTGAGAAGAGAGTTGGATGGTCCAAAGTGAAACAAAGGTAAGTTTACCCAGTCCAAAGTGAAAATATTGCTTAAAGGGTGGTCCAAAATGAAACATAGGTAACAAAAGGTGGCCCGAAGTGAAATTTACTTATTATTAATTCTTTAATACAAATTACAAATCAAATATTAAATGCTTTAACCATGTTGATGAGTGTCATGAAATAATGGTCACCACTACAATGACCAAAAGAGTGTTTCATTGGAATATTCAAACTAATATTTAGAACATTTCATCAAGCATTTCATGGCATAAAATCCACTCATGTAAAATAAATGGTCATGTAAAGAAATGGAGCAACAAAGTATCATTATGTCTACTTAGAATATTTTTTTAAAAAAAACTTTTAAGATATATCAACGCCTCCAAATTATCTAGGCTAAGGATTAAACCTCATTTAAATAATGCAATAAAAATATATTTGCCCATCACAACTTTTGGGTAAAATCTAGATTTTTGGCCTCTAAATATTAGGACGCGACTACAGGGAGCGCATGCACTCATTAGTGCTAACCAGCGACCATCCTTTTTACCAAAAATAGTCACAGTTTGTATCAACTCATTACCCTTCTTACTGAAAGTAGTAGCACCTGCCACTTGCATCCTCATTACCCATCTAAATTTCAAATAAAATTTTCTCTTAAATTACTTATCTGATCTACGATCCGATTACACTGTTGTGTTCATTGCAATTAAAACTGTACAACAAGATCTTACATGATTATGATATGATGAAAAAAATATTTATGTTCGTGATTGGTTGGCATATGCTGGAATTGGACATACACCTTTCTCTCTATTCAAAACCCCCAAAATGGTTTTAGGCTGGGCTCGGAGTGCATGGTTTTGACAGTAGCACCTCGGCCACTATAAGGACCAGTCTTCGGACCTCTGTTACAAAGCACTATCATAAGTCCACATGTCTAATGGGTAAGGCTTAGTTTGTAGCCTAGTCTGGTCGTGAACAAAAGGACACTGATAAAGATGGATGAAGTCGGGTGATGGATATCTCTGAGGCAAATGAAGGCTACATGGGCGAGTGTTCGGTAGTCGAGATGTTGTGGCACAGGACGGGCATCCGGGTGGCCACTCCCCAAGGGTATCCTGATGCCGTAGGGCTCGACCATAACCTACCTGTCCCGGGAACCCCGGCCGTAGGTGGGCGTTGAGTCGGTACTTTTGTTCAGGGCTAGGGTGAGTGAAGAACTATGTCACGCCCTCCATCCATATATTGTGGTGGTATGTGGCGCGTGATGACTCGTGAGGAAGCTGTGTCTTGTGGGTAAATATGTACACCTCTGATAAGAGTATAACCTATTCGAGTACGTAGCCGTGCCCTCGATTATGAGCAAGCCTAGTAATATACCCAAGTTAGTGATTTCACTCTTAAAACATATTAATCAACTAAAACCTGGAATGGTTGGCCTGGGTTGGCTTGGTATGAGCTGGAGCTCGGCTTTAAGGCTACCAGTTTGGTCCGACTCTTCGTAGGCCTTGGGTTAAGGCAGGTTCGTGTGGGTTCACGACCGTGAATAATTATAATACTTTGTAGACCTGTGTTCGAATTTACCAAATGGCTTTGAGCAACTAAGTGGTTTAAAATGTTGTTTTACTGCAAAATCTAACCCTTTATTATTATAGCTTTGTATCCCTTGCATTTATTGTGCATTTATCGGTGTGACTTGTTGAGCACGGTGATTATACTCAATCTTGCTCAATTTTTCCCCCAACCTAGAAAAGGAGTTCTTGGAAGAGGATGGCTTCAGTGTCTAGCTCGTGCCTGCCGTCAAGTGTCTATGGTCTTTGTCCTAGTCATTTGTGCTTTTTCGTTTATCTATGTGTGTTTGGCCTTTGGTCGCCCATGTAATAAAAGTATTATTTACGCTTCCGCTTGTTAAACTCTGATATTGTATCAACTGTTGTGTACCTCGCCTCGTGAGAAGAGGAATAATACATGCACGAATGGAAAACCTGTTGGGTTATTTTCGGTCGTGACAGACCCTATTCTTGAGTCCATCTCAAAGAAACACTACGACACATAAACCTGCATATAGTAATTAAAAATAAAAAAAATATAGTGCTTACTACTCCCTCCATTCCAAATTGATCTACATATAGTTTTTTTTAGGTTATTTATAAATGATCATCATATTTGTGTTCATTCATTAAGTCTATTCGTTATTTGTGCATTGGAGTAAATGGACATTGATGCATGCATCCATGCACACAAGTATTTATAACCAACGTGCAATATCTTGATTTGCTATTGGCTAGGAAATAGTGGGGATGGTGCATGTATCGAGTTTGTTGCTAGAGTAAATATAGTATTAGAGAGTTATAGTATTAGCTTTTCTTGGTATTGGTGTGCCTATGAAATTTGTAGATCAATTTGGAATGGAGAGAGTAATATATACACTAATCAGACCCAACCAAATACTTCCTCCATCTATTTTTGATAGTCATATTTCCAAATTTGAAAAATTTATTTTTGATAGGCATATTTCAATCCAACAACATATCCTCTTAATGACTTTCTTGGATTTAATGCGTGACTCTCCATTCTTCCACACAAGATTGGCTACATAGGTATCGAGAAATGTAAATATTAATGAATTGCTTGTTTACGAGGAATGACTAGTAGCATGTTTAATTGGATGATAAGTAGAATCTGTGTGCCAAGATAAAATATGATTATAAAAATAGATGGAGGGGGTATATTTTACCCATTTTTTATCAATAGATTGATTGATTCCCTCAACATCCTCATTTTTTTCTCAACTTTCCTGCTCCGTCCAAAAAAAAGACGAACCCTGGGTTTCCGTGTTCAATGTCTGACGGTCCGTCTTATATGAAATTTTGTTATAATTAGTATTTTTATTATTGTTAGATGATAAAACATTATTAATACTTTATGCGTGATTTGTCTTTTTTAATTTTTTCCAGGTTTTTTTTTTTTGACGGAAGGAGTATATCCGACGGCCACTCACACTCCACTAACGGTACGGTTTGCAACTTGCAACTGTGAAAACTGGTGAAGTGCAGCATCCACCACCACCAACCCCCCACCCCCCACGCCCCCACAACGCTCCAGCCCAAATTCCCCTCACTCCCACACTCCACTGTCCACTCCAAGCTCACCCGAGCTCCAGCTACTCAGCTCCTCGTCGCCGTCTCGCCGCCGCCGCAATGCCGCCCCTCATCCTGGTAATGGCGGCGCTGCTGCTCCCGGCGGCGGCCGACGCGACGTCGTCGGTGCTGCTGGGCATCAACTACGGCCGCGTCGGCAACAACCTGCCCCCGGCGAACGCCGTGCCGCCGATGCTGTCGTCGCTCGGGGTCGGCCGAGTCCGGCTCTACGACGCCGACCCGGCCACCCTCCGCGCGTTCGCCAACACCGGGGTGGAGCTCGTCGTCGGCGTCCCGGACGAGTGCCTGGCTGCCGTGTCAACCCCCTCCGGCGCCGCGTCGTGGGTCCGCTCCGTCGTCCAGCCGGCGCTCCCGGCGACCAAGATCGCGGTGCTCACCGTCGGCAACGAGGTGCTCACCGGCGCCAACAGCTCGTCGCTGTCGCGGTCGCTGCTCCCGGCGATGCAGTGCCTCCACGACGCGCTCGCGCAGCTCGGACTCGACAAGCAGGTGGCCGTCACCACGGCGCACAACCTCGGCGTGCTCGCCACGTCGTACCCGCCGTCGTCGGCGTACTTCCGCAAGGACCTCCTCCCGCTGCTCTGCCCCATCCTCGACTTCCACGCCCGCACCGGCTCGCCGTTCCTCGTCAACGCCTACCCCTACTTCGCCTACGCCGAGGACCCCACCGGCGTCGAGCTCGAGTACGCGCTGCTCGAGCCGACCTACGCCGGCGTCGCCGACCCCTCCTCCGGCCTGCACTACCCCAACCTGCTCGTGGCGCAGGTGGACGCCGTGTACCACGCCATCGCGGCGGCCAACACCGCGGCGGCGCGGGCGGTGGAGGTGCGGGTGTCGGAGACCGGGTGGCCGTCCGCCGGCGACGCCAACGAGACCGGCGCGACGCCGCAGAACGCCGCGAGGTACAACGGCAACGTGATGCGCCTCGTCGCCGACGGGAAGGGCACGCCGCTCCGGCCGTCGGTGGCGCTGCGCGCCTACATGTTCGCGCTCTTCAACGAGAACATGAAACCCGGCCCGACGTCGGAGCGAAACTACGGCCTCTTCAAGCCCGACGGCACGCCGGTCTACGAGCTCTCCTACCGCCTGCCCAAGGACAACACCAACTCCGGCGGCGGCGGCGGCGGCATCGGCGGCGGCAGCGGCACCATTGGCGGCGGCGGCGAGTACAATGGCCATGGCGAGGATGGCGGCTACTACAGCATCTCGGCCTCAGCAAAGCCGGCAGTAAGCTCTCCCCTGCTCTCCTGTTAATTATGCTGCATAATTTTTATGTGCTTTGATTCTTCTTTTCATTAGAAGTAGATTAATTAGCAAAGTTAATTCTTGGATTAGATGATAACGACTAGCTTGTTCAGTGTAATCAAATGCTGAAAAAAATGTTTAGGATAATCTGAAAAGTGTTGTATTTATCATGCTTGGTGCTTTTGCAAACACAAGGAATGTCAAGGCATAAAGGAGCATGATGCAGGTTAAGACTACTGTCTGATCCAACAACAACTTGATGTCACAATCACAAATTTTTATGCAATTAAAGCATTCAAAGCAAGAATGGCTAATCAACATTAGTACATACACAATGATCAATGTATAAAGTTTGGGCTCAAGCTGAAATAGATTAGATGTGACATGTTGCATCACCATCAACATGATTCTCCCTATTCTTGCTAGCATAAGCATAAACCAATCAGGCAATGAAGTAGCAATTATAAAAAAGAATAGGAACATGCCCGACCCTAATAGAGTAATAAGATTGTTACTAGGCGGTAAACGGGCAATCGGGCACGATTGTCGTCCCCTATTACGATCTATCTATGCATAACCTGCAATCATGCAAGGGAAGAAGAATTTTCAGTGGCATATGATCTGTCTGTTGTTGTTTCCTCACTGGAGCTTTGCTCCCTTTTGGTCACTTGCTGAGGTGTTCCCTTTTGTTTTGCTTGTGCTTGTGCTTGCTAGGGTTGGTGGACATGGTGGACACAAGCAGCTGTAGCAGCATGTGTGGCTGTCCTGATGAGGATGATGGCATTGTGATTGTGAGCAGATCAAGTGATGGTAGTAGGAAGGAAGCCTCTGGTTTCTAATGGAGTCAGAGGAGGCGCACATTGGGATGCATTGCTTCTTGCTGTTGCTGCAGTGGACAAAGGCATTGATGGTGGTGAATGTCCCTTAATTTAATCTCTGTCCTTGCCATGTTGTTGTAATTGATATGGCCTTGTAATTGAGGGGGTAATCTAATGGGTTGGTCAGTGTCATTAAACTAGACTTTTTTTTCTCTGTTTTGAAGCTCTTCCTCTCTTGAATTTTGATATTAAATTGTTCATTTTGGGGAGATAACACTAGTGATTAACAGATAATGGCTTAGATACGATACAAAGTCACTACTCTATATTTTCCAAAATATTACAACATATTACCAAATTTGACATAACCTAATACTATGAATCTGAACAAGACATGACCTTTTGATTGAAGTTTGGGCAACTCCCTGCAAAGCTTAGGCCCTATTTAGTTTCCAGAAAGTTTTTCCAAAAACATCACATCGAATCTTTGAACACATGCATGGAGCATTAAATATAGATAAAAACAAAAACTAATTGCACAATTAGGAGGGAAATTGCGTGACGAATCTTTTGAGCCTAATTAGTCCATGATTAGCCATAAGTGCTACAGTAACCCACATATGCTAATGATGGAATAATTAGGCTCAAAAGATTTGTCTCGCGGTTTCCATGCGAGTTATGAAATTAGTTTTTTCATTCGTGTCCGAAAATCCCTTCCGACATCCGGTCAAACGTCCGATGTGACACCCAAAAATTTTTATTTTGTGAACTAAACGGGGCCTTAGAAGTAGGCTGCACCTGCACTGAACTGGAGGATCAGATACTGTTGCTTTTCATCTTATCAGTTACTACAACCAAAAGTAACACATTTCTCTGACTTGTGAGCTAGCTAGTGAGCTTCACTTTGTACCACTAGCTTTTAGCTTTGCAGATGCAGTCATGCAATGGCTGTGTTGATTATAATAACTGGGAAACCCTCTTGTTTAGGTCCAAACAAACGGTCATCTTGGTGCATCATAGCCTAATTTAATCATGTGTAAATTACTGACAAAAGAGCACCTGTTTTGCAAAGGCAGTAGTACTACTGAATGAATGAATCTTTTCTTTTTGGGATGAGATGTCCTCTCACGTGTGCTGTCTGTTGGACACCTTTTTTAACTCCTTGTGGGACTGAGTGGCAGAATGGGTGTACATGTAGAACTGTACTACCTGCACCTACACTGGCACAAATCTACTCCTTCCATCAGAAGAAAAAAAACCTCAGACTTCTAGGATGATGAATCTGGACAACTATTCGTTCAGATTCTTTACACTAGAAGATGTCACATCTTCTTTTAGGTTGAGTTATTTTTTATTATAGGAGTACATGTGCACTTACATCATCTTATAATGTACTCCCTCCGTTTCATTCTAACATTTCTCATATACATCTATCTATATATATATATATAGATATCTAGATTCATTAATATTAATATAAATGTGGAAAATAATAAAATGAGTTACATTGTAGGAAGTAGTTATTTTTAAAGTTTAAGTTTATTTTAAAATATAACTATTTTTTCACCTATCTCTTCATCCCATCAATCATAGACATCTCCATTTATATTTTAATTACTTTATATTCTTAATCAATTATAATATTCTGCTATTTAATCTCGAATGTTAAATAATTCCTATAAAAACCTCTATAAGGCTGCGTTCTTTGTTTGGAGTTCCTAGCTCCCCACCCTCGTTTTCCCTGTGCACGTTTTTCAAACTACTAAACGCTGCGTTTTTTTTTTCAAAAAGTTTCTATACAAAAGTTGCTTAAAAAATCATATTGATCTATTTTTTTAAAAAATATTAATATACTTAATTAATCACGCGTTAATGCGAACATCGTTTTGCGTGCCCCTCCTCCCGAACACAACCTAAATAGGCCTGGTTTAGTTTCCAACTTTTTCTTCAAACTTCAACTTTTCCATCACATCAAAACTTTTCTACGTAAATAAACTTTTAACTTTCACGTCACATCGTTCCAATTTCAATCATGCTTCCAATTTTGGCGTAAACTATTTATTGTCTTTCTCTTATAGTAGTATTTTAGAATGGAGAGAGTACTATTTATTGTCTTTCTCTGAATCCGGAACTGCAACTGCAGAACTGCAAAGTTTGGGAAGCTGAAGAAAAAAAATTGGTTGGATCCAAGTGATAGGTTACATTTTGGCAGTAATAGGTCTCGTGCTGGAGTATTTAAGTACAGTTCTCTGATGGAAACCGGTAAAAAAAAGAGTTGATCTGGTCGTGGACAGACAGCATCGGATCAGAAGACAGAAGCAGCGCAGGGGGTTGATTTGTTTGGATAGATTGATGAATGGTAGGGATGTTTTACTTGTTAAAAAAAGTAAGTAAATTATGCCGACATGAACTTAAGCTACATATTTTAAAAAAGAGAAGGTATTGACAACATCACTAATGATAAAAATCCAAACAAAGATGAACAAACAGATCAATGCTGGGCTAATGATAAAAGCATAAAACTCGCAACTGGAACTACTACGAGGACACATATGAACTCGACTATAATATACAGAAAGAAGGTGTGAAGTTTTAGTACGTCTTCATGCCAATGCATCCACCAAGAGTGTCATGGCTTTGTGCAGCTTAGATGCAACTGCTAGTTTATCTATTAGTATCTAAAAGATGGCCCCAACAAGGGTACGCTTCATCGTCGATGCCAGATTGGATCAAGGAAGATTAGATTAACAGATTTCTTCCATAAATCTCAAGTTCCATTCATCATGGTAACACATTCAAGTAAGGTTTCATCCCTCGACGAACACAAACCTAATTGTTGAATAGAATCAACTAAGACCAGATCGATAGATCCAATCGGTGAACACTAGACCTATATGGATCAAACCATAGGCATCGAGCCATCATGATCTCTATCCTAACGACGAGCGAAGGTCGGATATTGGGGAAGACCGTGATTTTTATAAGAACTTCAAAATGAGATTTTCTGTAAAAAAAAATACACAAAACAATCTGTGACCTTTTGCCGAATGTGCAGGTCAGCTTTGCAAAAGGTGCTCACACGAGCTTCATACTCTCTCCATTTTTTAAAGAGTAAATTGCATCGGCGGTACACAAATTTGTCAAGTGGGTGCAATCTAGTACATGAACTTGTAAAGCGCTCGTTTTGGTGCACGAACTTGTTAGGTGCGTGCGAACAAGGTTAAAATCGCACTGCAAGGTTAATCTTGCTGATTCTGTTGTTGATTTAAACTCTATGTAAACATTAGTATAAGAAGGATAAACATATAATAAGGCATAATAATTGCATAAAAAAAATAAAAATATGAGTACTGATGCAAGGGACAGAAACAAAGAAAGATAAAGTGGAATCTAAGTTTACAAATATAACATTTCTACTATGTACATGCAAGTCATCTACTAATTTGTAATTTATAATGTTCAACGTAGAAAAATTGGTCTTTATCGAGCCATTTTAGCCTTAGTTTGCACGTAATAGACAAGTTCATACACCAAAATAAGCATTTTATAAGTTCATACACTAAATTGCACGCACCTGACAAGGTTATTTACCAGTAATGCAATTTACTCTTTTTCAAAACAAATATGTAATTATCATTTTATTTTTATGACTTAATTTGTCACTAAATATTTCCTTATATTTTTATACGTTTACACCAAATTTTTTAATAAAACGAATGATAAACATATAAAAAAAGTTAACGGTGTTATATATTAAAGGAAAAAGTACGAATTACCCCTGAACTATCGCGGTCGTCTGAATTACCTCCCTGAACCACAAAACCAGGCATTCTTCACCTCCAACTATATAAACCGGACAAATTATCCCCCTCGACCCAATCCGCAGTGGTTTTGGTCTACGTGGCGTACACGTGGCAATCCAGTTAGCATTCTAGTTATTAAAAAAATATGGGACCCACCTGTCATACTCCTCATCCTCTCATCCTCTCTCTTTTCTCTCTCTCACTCTTCCTCTCTCTCTCAAACGGGTCAGCGGCGGCGGCAGGAGAGGACGCGGTGGCGGCGTGCGAGCGGTGGCGGTGGCGGAGCGCGGGGAGGACGCGGTGGCGGCGGGCGGCGCCGAGGAGGGGGGATGAGGAGGACGACAACAAGGATGGCATGCACCGCGGCGGCGGTGGCTGCGGCAGGTGACGCGGAGGCGGCGGCGGGGGGGGGGGGATGAGGAGGACGACGACGAGGATGGCGACGGAGGAGTGGCAGAGCGTGGGGAGGATGCGGCAGCGGTGGGCAGCGCCGAGGTGGGGGGATGAGGAGGACGACGGAGGAAGCGAGCGCGGTGAGGCGGTTGGCGGGGGGACGATGGCAGAGGAGGCGAGCGCGGTTGACGGCAGAGGCGGTTGGCGGCGAGGCGAGCGTGGCGGCAGAGGAGGCGAGCGCGGCGGCGGAGGAAGCAAGACGGCAGCGGCGGCGAGGCGGTTCGCGACGAGGACGACGCTCAGGCTGTGCCCGCTCTTCCGACGCGCCATGAGCTATCAGTGAACTCCGGCGACGCCGCCACCACGGCCGTGCGCGCCATCCTCGTCGTCGTCCTCCACATCCCCCCTCCTCGGCGCCGCCCGCCACCGCCGCGTCCTCCCCGCGCTCCGCCACCACCCGCACGCCGCCGCCGCGTCCTCCCCTGCCGCCGCTGTTGACCCGTTTGAGAGAGAGAGAGGGGTAGAGTGAGAGAGAAAAGAGAGGGGATGAGAGGATGAGGAGTATGATAGGTGGGTCCCACATTTTTTTTAATGACTAGAGTGCTGACTGGATTGCCACGTGTACGCCACGTAGACCAAAACCACTGCGGATTGGGTCCAGGGGGTAATTTATCCGGTTTGCATAGTTGGGGGTGAAGAATGTCCGGTTTTATGGTTCAGGGGGATAATTCGGACGACGGCGATTGTTCGGGGGGGTAATTCGTACTTTTTCCTATATTAAAAACCGAAGGTAGGATATATATGAGTCTGCCGTATGTCCCATGTTATATTTGCAATTGCAAGAACATTAAGAGCATGTGCAATGTATGATTTTAGAAGGTGTAAAGAGGAGTGAAAAGACAATAAAACCGGTCCCATACATGTAAGATTTTTGCTGGAAGGAGTCGGCATCAGGCATAGTAACGAGTTTTAAAGGAGAGAGAATATCTTAAACCCACTCGTCATACACAGTATGTGAATTGCAGCTTGTCATCTCAGATTTGCTATTTAATGTAAGTAGGTCCATCGAGTCCAACGGTGGGTTTCATACATTGTTGAGCTTTTTACCTTGTTGCTGCTCCCTCCGTTTCTAAATATTTGACACCGTTAACTTTTTAGCACATATTTAACCGTTTGTCTTATTCAGAAACTTTTGTGGAATATGTAAAACTACATGTATACATATAAGTATATTTAATAATGAATCAAATAATAGGAAAAGAATTAATAATTACTTAAATTTTTTTAATAAGACGAACGGTCGAACATATTTAAAAAAAATCAACGGCATCAAATATTTAGAAACGGAGAAAGTATAAGATAAGTGGGTTTTATACATTGGGCATCTTGAAGAGCATCCAACCCAGGAGGCTAGCTAGCTAGCTAGGACGAGTACCATGGTCAGTTGTGAAATTGAACTGAGCGTGTCACACTATATATGGTACACCATTTTGCTAAATTTCTCTGGATATCAGTTCATATTTCTTTTGGCCTAATACCTCCAAATAGTATCTCACATATATCTGAGAATTGGCTAAGGGGGTATTGACTCAAAAACAAAAAAAAAACTTATTTTAGTAAGAGCATTTGCTATATGTTGCGATCTATGGCTTATTAGGAATGTTATGGTTTTTGACAAATCTCTATCAATCTTATGTGCAAGTATTTTCCTTGGCAAGGTATTGGTTTCGATTCTGGGCATAACTACAAAGGTATGATGAAAACAAGGAACTAATACATACTACATATTGAAACTTGGAGTCAACGGTCATGTAGATATACTATGGATGGAGATTTACAAATATAATTGAATAAATGTATGTCTCCTCAAGTGTTGGAGTTATTAGTCTTTGCACTTTCAATTCCTAAATTTTATTTGCTCTTTGTTGAGCGGACTATGTAATAAGTGGCTATAGCTTCTTTGAAGCAAAAAGATGATGTTATTCCATTACCTTTCATAAAAGGGGCAATTGCAAATTTACCACTACTTTGAATCGTTATTGCAAAACTGCCACTAAAAAATTATAAAAATGCCACTAGAACTGTCATTCGAGTGGTATCCTTGCAATATTGAAAAAACCAGTGGCAAATTTGCAAATGCCCCTTTATAAAAATAATGACAAAACCCTGATCTGGTCTGCCATTTTCTAAGTAATGCATAGTGGTACTGGTACAGATAAAACATTTTTCTTGTCATTTTTGTATAATGATTTCCTCTAAGACAACATTGCATTATTTTTATGGGTAATTTGGAACCATGCCATTATAATTTTGCAAAGTTTGAGATATGCCATATGTATCTCAATGACATGTAGGACCCACATGAGTTAATGACATGTGGGTCAGGATGGCATATCTCAAATTTTGCAAAATTATAATGGTATGGTTCCAATTTTCCCATATTGGATTTTTTTGGGTTATTTTTAATAGAGCAAATTTTACTCTGAGTCACTTTTTTGCCAAAGTGTTACAAACAATTAGGGCTAAACCTATCTTTCAACTTAAGATGTACTGTAGTTAGATGCTGTATATATATTATGTGTTTAGTTGTATGTCAAATTGTACAAGAAAGCACCAGTGTGGTGGTGGAGTTGTGGGTGTGTAACTCTATCCAAGTTGTCCACAAATATTACACATATGTAATAGTGGGCTAGGGAATTGTCATCGTGAGATCGGTAAACGTGTATCACAACCAAACAAAAATTATCACAACCAAACAAAAATTTCGATATGGTAAGTATTCTTGTAGGGCCTAAGGGCATGTACAATGATTGTCAATAGTGGTCTCTTAGCATTGCTAATTAGAAATACTTGTTGACATGGAGGAAAGAGAAAGAGGAGAGACAAAACATCGTTGTTATGTATGACAACGGCTTAACAACGACTCTTAGTCACTATAATATGGAAATATGGTTGCATGAGGATAAAAATATGAAAAGAATATTAACAAAAGGAATATTTTTTGAGTTAATGATTAGAGCCTTTGTCGTCTCAATTATCGTAAAGACATGGTCTCTAAATAATCTTGTATTGTTTAAGAGACCATACCCGTCTCTATCATTGATCATGCCCTAAGGGCATGTATAACGGTAATTAATAGTGGGCTCTTAGAGTTGTTAAGAAGATAAGTTTTCTAACACAAATAAAATAGATAAAGATATGCATGACCCATAATGTCTGTTTATAAAAGGAAACTTTACTACGTGAGGATGGAGAAAAGGAAGGAAAAATAATAATAAAATATTTCAGTATATTGATTGTTAGTCTTTTATCGTCTTGAATGAATGTTGTAAGATAGTCTCTGAAAGCCTCTACCAGATTCCACCTGTGAACATGCTTTCAACATGTCCTAAGGTGATGAATGCTTTTAAGTCCTGACAAGAAGGCCCAACCTGCAAGAAAGGCTGGGTTTTGAATGCTTGATGTTGGAGCAGGATGGGCCAGCCCATGGTCGGCCCAGTTTCAGTGGGCCTCAAAAACACAAACTCACGCTGACCCGTGGGCCCACCACCACCACCGTAGCAGTCAGTCTCCAACACGCGGTATTCGTAGCCGCCAATACACGCCAAACCGAAACCCACCTCCAGCGGGCCCCACCTGTCATCGACACCAAGAACGCGGAATCCCCTCACGGTACGGATCCAGATCGCCGCACGCCTCCTCTCCAGAACACTCGCCCGCCACACCACCGCCCCCAACGACACCGACACGTGGGCCCACCCTTCCCCGGCCCCACCTGTCATTCACGTGGGGTGATTCTACGACCCGCCTCGTCCGCTTACTTATTATTATTATTATTATTACAGACAGGCCGTAATTCCAAATTGGAGAGTGTTTCTTTTTTTTTTCCCTTCTTTTTCTCTGTCCTTCCCTCTCTCTTCGCCTCATCGTCTTCCTCCTCTTGTTTCGCGAGAAAAAAAGAAAATAAAAATAAAGGCGAGGAGGTCTCGCGAGCTACCAAACCCTAGGGCTCGATTCGGTGGCGGTGGGGAGGGGGCTGGATCGGCGGGATCGCGCGGGCGGCGGCGGCGGCGGGGAGGGGATGACGATACCGAGCGCCGAGGGGTTCCTCCACGCCGCGAGCTGCCTCCCGTGCACGGCGGAGGAGGAGCGGGACCTCGTCGTCGCGCTCACCAGGGAGGCCGAGGAGAATGTCAAGGACGGCGATCTCCGCTACCTCGTCTCCCACAGGTCGCCTCCGCCGCCGCGGCCTCTCCTGATTTAGTGTCGTTCTATTTTGTTTTATTTTTTTTTCCGGCGAGCATCTAGGTACCCGTCTTCCCGCGGTGTGGCGGCCGTGGGGATCTTATCTATGCTGCGGGAAAATCCAGGGGTTCGAATTGGGGCTGGGGATCCGACGCGTGCCGTTTGGCGCGTGATGCGGAGTCGCGATCCAATCTTGTTGTGCTCCGGGGATGTGTTGGTTGGGGCGCTACAGTAAAATGATATAATCGTCAGGCACCATGCTGAGTTGTTTTGTAGTATATCTTTAATAAAAATGTTTTTTTTTGCAAACTCCTGTATTAAATATTACAAACTAGTTTATAGAGTAAGGCATGATATATATATATCTGAGCTGTCCAAGTAGTTCAATGCGCAGGATCTTCTCGTTGGCTGCAAGTAAATGTCATCCAGCATTGCTTGTGGGACTTGGTTTCCTGTTTGATGTTGATCCGTTTAATCCGTTCGCATTTCATTTCAATTGGTTGCTGTGCACATGTTATCTGAATTTTGTGACTGATAAATTACATCGTGTGGACTTTGCAAATGTTGCAGCTGGTGGCTTAACTGGCAAAGCTATGTGGGCTTAATCAAACCTGATGAGAATGATGCTGACATGCTTCCTCAAGCTCCAAGTAGACCAGGAGAGATAGATAACTCAAAGCTAGTTTCAGAGGAAAGCAGCAGTATTGGTGATGAGCCAGAGCTTCAAAGAACCCTGAGGGAAGGAGATGACTACGCTTTGGTGCCCCAGGAAGTATGGAGGAAGCTACATGAATGGTATGCAATGTTATATGTCTGTTTAACTGCCTTCATGTCAGAAAGTTTGTTGTACCCATAAAACCACGGGTTTGTCTCTTTACTTTTTGTCATGAGAGAAAATGGTTGCCTGATTAAAATTTGATCATATAACTACAGTTCCATTTTGCGACATTTTTTTAGTTCTTATTTTCTTTAGGCGCTCTTGTTCATTTGGCCAAGCTTGGGCTGCCAGGGCTTTGATATGCCACATTGTAGATTGCATGTGCTCCACTTAGGTGCAAACCAAAAAAGCCTGGTTTGTAGTCCTGTTTGCTCAGTCTGTTGGCAATTAGTTGTTGCCCTATTCAATTTTTCTGTTTCCTGTTGATATTTGTTTAAAACAATGATGTGCTAACTGGTAAATGCATACTGTACGCGTTTTCACTCATGAGGTCAGGTTGCTCTTCAATGGATTATGCCAGAATACTAGTGTAACCATAACTTATCCCTAATGTCCATGGCCTAATGTACTTGAATACATTCTTCTTCAATTGGGATCATCAACTCATGGACACATGAATACTTTTCAGGTACAAAGGTGGACCAGAACTCTCAAGAAGAGTAATTTGTAGTAGTCCAACTTCCAGAAGTTACATTGTGGATGTCTATCCCCTCCGTCTGAAATTATTTGATGGAAGAGACAGCTTGGAGAGAATTATCAGAATTAGTAGAAAGGTATGGTATATTTGATTTATATTGTGACATTGTGCTTCATATGTAATTAACCGTCAATAATGCGACTGATGCTCCTTGAAACTTCCCTGGTTTCATAATGTTTGGCATTTCTTTTGGGATGTAGTCCCTCCATAGTTATCCATTGATGATGAAATCAATAGTGTAGTTATTACAATGATGATTCCACTATCCAGCCCTAATTTATTGCTTCAAAGAGGTTGTGTGGTTAACATTTGGTTGTATTTCACATTAGCTTATCTTAGCCATCATGCCTCCTTGATCTGTGCTTATTGTGTGGGACAAATCGGAGCATTTCTTATATTTGATAGGTTAGATGATCAGTTTAGGCATTCTTTATACCTTGATCACATTGTTGGAGAGTCACATTTGTCAAATAAAAACCAGTGCTTACACATTTGCATTATATGAAATAAAGCAATGAGGATTCCCTCTTTGTGATGAAGTGTCAAAGAAATCGCATCTGTTCATCACCTGCTTGTTGCGATCTTCTACTTTGGTATGCTGAGCCCTTGAATTTCAGAATTTGATCTGATATTTTTGGTTGACTATTACCAGAAGGAAAAAAATGTTACAAATTTGATGCGCAATGGCAAATACTTTGAATGCTGGTTTTACTAACTGCTTGAACTAATAGCACTTTTACTAAAAAAGTAGAAAGATGAACTTTCTACTATCTTCTTTCTTAGATACTCTTTTGTTGAACAGTAAATTTGTTAACTTTCTATTATCTTCTTTCTTGGATACTCTAGTTTCTTGTGCAATTGACTTGACTTATTTTTTGACGTTTGTATTTGGTGCTTTCAGGCCAAAGTTAGTGAGCTCTATAGCTTGGTTTGCTCACTTTTGTCCGTCGAACAGTCTAAGGTACAAGCATCATCATTTATTCATCTAATATCTCTATCTGTAGTGTCAGTTATGGTTATGTATATGATTCTTTGCTCCATCTACTTTAATGCTTCAGATCGACATCTGGGATTTTTACCAAAAGACAAAGGGAAAAAAACTGATAAATCTTAATGAGACGGTTGAGGAAGCTCAACTGATGATGGACCAGGAGGTATTATGCACTATGCAATTCCCATTCACATATCTATTGTTTTATCTGCTGAAACCTATGATTGTTTCCTTTATTCTGGCAGCGAGATGGTCGCTGGCTTTTTGTTGTTATTGTTGCTATGCGCCCTTTTCATCTATGGTCTGCTGTCTGCCTTAGGATGTCACCTTGCACATGGATAATGACTTTGTCATAAATTGTCTAACTCCTAAATATTGCTTAATTTATTATCTTAATTTACATTTGCACTTTTCAAGTTCTATTATGGTTGACATGAGAATTGTTTTTGAGTTAATAAAGTTGGCTCATTTGTCTTTATCATATGAATATGCTTCTGATCAGTGTGTTTTATCATATGAATATGGTTTACATTTGCACCATTGCAATGTTCGGGTATGAATATGTACTGGTATGAATATGTACTATTGCTTCTAAGATGTTCACTATCTGTATTGTGGGTGTCCTGAATCTTATTATTCTTAACGATTTACCCCTATTTTGTTGGCAAGCCAACAATTTTCTATTTTCTGTCTGTACATTAACTGAAGATGCAACTTCTTTCTTTATGCTTGCAGATTATCATAGAGGCAAAGGCAGATGATGCTTGGTGTTCGGATCTTGGTACAAGATCAAATAATGAACTAGCATTAATTCCGTTGGAACCCTCAACATCATCGTTTTCAATTGCTGGAGGTCCTGCATTTTCAAATGGTTTTTCATCTGGATTTGGTTCCAGTTTTTCCCAAGATAATAGCTTTAGTCCTTTATTAAGGGACGCAGAAGATGGTTATAGTTTCTCCAATGGCACAAAGGATGATATCCATGGACTGAGTGGTTTACATAACTTGGGAAATACATGTTTCATGAACAGTGCTATACAATCCTTGGTGCATACACCTCCATTGGTGGAGTACTTTTTACAGGATTACAGTCGGGAGATAAATACAGAAAATCCACTTGGGCTACAGGTAATGCATGTTGTCCTATTATGTAGATTGCGAACTTATGATCTTATTGGTGATTTCTGAGAACATCTCCATTGAGCAGGGTGAACTTGCAACAGCATTTGGAGAATTACTGAGAAAACTTTGGTCAGCTGGTCGAACTTCTATAGCTCCACGTCCATTCAAGACAAAACTTTCTCGTTTTGCTCCACAGTTCAGTGGATACAATCAACATGATTCTCAGGTTGCTCCGAATGTTTCTCCTAAACACTTCTTATAAATGTCTGTTAAATGGTGCTGACACTGAGTTTTGCACCTTTGTTCTGTTTTGTAACTTCCATTAATTAGTCGTACATTATAAACGTATTTCTTACTTTAAGATAACATGCTGTTGTGTCCCAGAACTATGAAGTTAATTTTCATTTCAACACACCGGTGCACTGTTAGTGTTAAGGCACATTTCAGTTCCGAAGTACATATGCATTAATTTCTTGTGAGATTTTATTACAAAACCCTAGGTTTTGGGTAATAAAACTCCCAGGTCTAATTCTTACATGTACTAAAAACAATACCGCATACTATTTTATTGTACAAGTGTTATGCATAAATAGTGGTATAAGAGTGTGGCCAAAAATTTGGGGTTCTTCGAAACAAATTATAAAAGCTGGGATTTTGCGTTACAATCGTTCCAAACCTGAGGTTTTGTGAAATTTGTTTTTTAACCATAGTGTTGGTTGTTTATTTAAATTGTGTCAAACTATGATTATATCTATGTTTCTCAAACTTTTGTTATAAGTCGTTTTGACTTTTTTCCTAGTCAAACTTTTTTAAGTTAGACCAAGTTTATAGAAAAATGTAGACACATTTTCAACATAAAACAAACATATTATCAAAATATATTAAATGTTAGTTTTAATGAAACTAATTTGGTGTTGTAGATGTTACTAAATTTTTATATAAACTTGGTCAAACTTAAAGAAGTTTGACTAGAAAAAAAGTCAACGACTTGTAGCATAAATCAACATGTCCTGTCAAAGAGATAAATTGTCTCTGCTTTTTGGCTTGTTCGCTGTTCTGATAAATGGTGCATCCTTTTTGGCCACACATTGACACAAGTTTTCAGCTCTTTTCCTGAATATGTTTTCCATCTTTAGAATCTGTTTTAATTGCGTCCCTGTTATCTTCCTTGCTGTAATCTTCTCTTTTATAACCGTCATCGTCTTGTATACAGTTTGTTGTCATTTTGTGAACTGATGCATCCTATTTATCACTACTTATGCATCCCTGCTTTGCTTGTTTTCAGAACTTGATGTATTTCTCCATACATTTTTTTTTCATTGTGTAATATTACCTGTTGCAACCTTTAATAAATGTGTCTTTCGGAATAAGGGATTGTTTATTATGCTTTTTGATATATTAGTGCCTCCCTCATCTTGTCGTTTAGTTCTTGTTTGGATAAGCTATATTTATTTGACAAAATTTGGCAATTTAGATTGTTCACATTTTGTTAAAGAAGATTGATCTGTTACTTATTGCCCCTCTTTTATGCAGGAGTTACTTGCATTTCTATTGGATGGTCTGCATGAAGATCTCAACCGTGTGAAAAAGAAACCATATATTGAAGCAAAGGATGCCGATGGCCGTCCTGATGAAGAACTTGCTGAGGAATGCTGGAATTACCATAAAGCTCGAAATGATTCTATAATTGTTGATAAATTCCAGGTAATGAAATCTTTGCTACGTGTATATGTTTACCATGTGGAGCAAATATTGTTTGGATCTGGAATTATTTTAAAGATATTTCTGCATTTTTTTGAATAAGGGTTCCCTATCTCTGGTTGTTCTTTAGGCATCTTCGTATTATGGAAATGAACTTGGTAATGCTGAAACTATTTGTAATCAGACAACAGGTTTTTATTTTCTTTTTTAAAGAAACAGGTTATTTTTTGAGGCAGGGATCAGGTGAAATTTCAACAGTGGTTATATCACAAAAATTTAACCGTTTTTGGGATGAGAACGGGTACTATTTTCTGTAGAGCCCTCATAAGTAGTGGGGATATTCAGTTTTTGGTTAATTTTGTTGGATGTTTTCTATTTTTTGACAACCGGTTTTGAAATAGTGGTAACCAGAATGATTGCTGCACAAAAAAGAGCTCCTGAACCGAATAATTCAGTTTGGTTCAGTTAGAAAACAGTATCTGTTTCTCCTCGGAACATGCCAATGCTGACCTGTGCCGCTTGACGTTGCTCCTTTGCTGGCCTGCTGTGCCACTGCCGCTCTGTGACTGCCTGCCATGCCTTGCGCTGCTCTGTCGTTGAATTGATTTGGTGAAACTGTGGAACCGAGGGAGGAAAGAGATGTAATAGAAAATCTAGTCGGGAATGTAGGGTTGTGGTTTGGTAGGGGCGTGAGATGTGCTTGAGCCGTTGGCATGATGATTGGTTGCTGGTTGGCATATTTTGTACCTTAACATGGCATAATGATCTAAAGCCATTTACCGAACAAAGAGAATTAAAATCAAACTGGAAATGAAAATACAAAAATCCTGAATGTGGCATGGCTCATTTTGGTATTAGGTTTATGTATGCTCACAACTATTCACCACTCATCAGTATACCTTTTCCATTGCTTGCTGCTTTTGCAATGATTATCTTCTTGAGACTAGGCCTGAAAGATTAGGCCAGGTCTGTCTGCAAGCAGATGTAGCGTACCAAGATTTACCTCACAAACTGCTCAGCCTTTTACTTGCTGCTGAGTGCAAGATACTAGCTAGTTCTGGTGCTTGGTATTATTAGTTAGCACTGTAGAATTTGTTGGATATTTCTGATCGGTTAGTATATATGTTGGGACAAGTGGGTCGACCTGTGAACCCACTTATGTGGTTGGCACCGTTGTATCAAGCTATGTCTTGAGTTGAATCTGGCTTGAACCAATTGTTGGTTATTACTTGGTCGATTTATGAAGCAGTGATGGGTATTTTCAATAGAAGAAAATACTAAAGAACAATGTTATAGCGTTGATTAATGATTGCTCTCTGATGGTGAAACATGATTGATGTTTCTTGAAGCTATTTTAGGAAGTGGGAGAGATAGTATAGTTATTTTGCTTTCATTCTGTAATATTTCCTCCATACAAAAATAGAAGGCATATGTTATTTTTGGATTAGGCTTTAACCAACAATTATTATGTTAGAATATAATTTTTGTGATGCAAAATCAATGTTAATAGATTCACATTCAAAGGAACTTTCTTATGATATGCTTTTGAGTCACATAAATGATATGTATGTTAGTAATAAAGAAATTGTTGGTCAAAGTCTTGACGTTAATAACAGTGAATACACCTTATATTTTTATAAGGAGGGAGTATATACATGTTCAAATTTCAGTAGCATTTTCCCCTTTGGCGTATTTTGTGGTGTACGATAATTGTTAATTGTCACATCTCTGCAGTAACATCAATTCATTTGGTTGATGTTTCAGGGTCAGTACAAGTCCACTTTGGTTTGCCCAGATTGTAAGAAAATCTCAGTTACATTTGACCCATTCATGTACTTGTCACTGCCATTGCCCTCAACAGTTACTCGCATGATTAATGTAACTGTATTTAGTGGTACTGGAGATGCCCTTCCCATGCCTTACACTGTGAAGGTACAAAAGAATGGAGTTTGTGGAGATCTTATAAAATCTCTGAGTGTTATGTGTTGCTTACAAAGTTGCGAAACACTGTTACTTGCAGAGGTAAAAAATCCAGTTTGTTCTTATGTAGCAATGGTGTTATTTGAAGCATAACTCTTTTTCAGTAAATAGCTAATAAACATCATATTCTTTAGGTATATGATCATCGGATTTACCGCTATTGGAACCCATCAGAACCACTTTGTCATGTAAAAGATGAAGACAAACTTGTTGCTTACAGGCTACCGGTTGGCTCTGAAAATCTCTTGAGGGTAGAGATCCTGCATCGGGTGGTTGATAGGTGAGTCTGTAATTATGTTAGCAAGGACCACATATGTGTTTCCATGATGTCCGTTCATCTATTGTTGCTCCTTAGAATAGGTGAACCCTGCCCTTATTTGAATTTTGGTTCTAGTGAGAATTTTGTGCTTATGATTCGTGAGAATAGTTTAGTGTAGCTGACAAAAAAAATGCTACAGACATTGAGATTTCTTACCTCAGATACATGCCATGTATTTGATGGTAGTGATTTTCTTTTTTCTACTATTCTATTCCTTGGAACTGGTTTCCATTTTTGTGCTTACACATTGATTTGTTTTGTTAATTTATGCAGATATACTTCAGAGTCCATGTTTAATCTTAGTCGGAAGCTAATTGGAAGCCCTCTTGTGACTTGTATTCCAAGTGACTCTACAAGAAAAGCTGATATTTATGCAACTGTCTCTTCACTTCTGGCTCCATTTGTGCGGGCAAAAGTACATACTCTGGATGAATCTGCAACCAAGTTAAATAGCAATGGACCTAGCCTGGATGGTATTGTACTGACAGACAATGGTGTCACCTGTGAGGAAGATGTATCTACATCAAATGTGGATGAGGAAGCAGCTGATGAAGAGGTTTTGCCATTTCAGCTTTGGTTGACTGATGATAAAGCTAATAAGAGAGAGCATATTGATGCAGATTCTAACGGTGTTCCTGGGTCGACCATGAGGTTATTAATGGACTGGTCTGATAGAGAACATGAAGTATATGACATTAAGTACATGGATGAACTTTCTGTGGTCTTCAAGCCTGGATTTATGTCAAAGAAAAATCGGCAAGAAGCAGTCAATTTATTTTCATGCTTAGATGCTTTTCTGAAGGATGAACCTCTGGGCCCTGATGACATGTGGTTAGTATTATTTCTGTCTTATTGACTGATACTTGCAAATTGCTCTGTTTTTTCCATAAAGAAAGCACCTTGGTCAATGTCTGAGCTTGCATCACTTTTCTTGCTTATCTGAGCAGGTACTGTCCGAGATGCACGGAGCACAAGCAAGCCAGCAAAAAGCTTGACTTATGGAGGTTGCCTGAGATATTGGTAGTTCACTTAAAAAGGTTCTCATACAGCCGGTTTATGAAGAACAAGCTTGATACCTTTGTCAACTTTCCAATCCATGATCTTGATATGAGTAGATATGCAAATCACTCAAGAGGTGATCAGCCCCCCATTTATGAACTCTATGCAGTGATCAATCATTACGGCGGAATGGGTGGTGGTCACTACTCTGCGTATGCAAAGGTACTTTTTGGGCTAAGTTTTCCTAGGCCTTGCATATCCTTTTAACTTAGTAGGTGTTTCCTGTTGGTTGCTGAATTCCTTTTGCTGTACATTTTGTATCTGCAGTTAGTAGAAGAGGACAGTTGGTATCATTTTGATGATAGCCACGTTTCATCTGTTGGCGAAGAGGACATCAGGACATCCTCAGCTTATCTCCTGTTCTATCGGCGAGTTGGTAGCAGCTCCTGCAGTGTGTCTAAAAATGTTGCAGTGGACACTGATATGGTTGATTCGCTGGACACATAGATTTGAAGGCGAGAATTCAGTATGGCATAGTTTTCTGGGCAATACATATGCTGCTGAGAAGATTGCTAGGACTCTTATTTGCTGGTTTTGGGCACTGAGTATTGGTTTATGGTAGGTCCATCCAACCGTGGAGGTTTTGAGGGTGCAGCATCTCGTTAGCATCATCTTCCAATATGTTACAACCATTCTCATGCAGATTAGGGCTTCCAATATCTCCTGTCTTGCCCTTTTAGCGAATCGTTGAAATGTTGCCGGCTATATGTTTACTAAAACTTCCTTTGCCGATATGCTGATGTACAGCAGCAGGTCTTGTTAATTTACGTGATCTTATTGTTGTGGTTGGATGGGTGGTGGAAAATTGGTACTGCAACTAGCTGCGTCAGAACCAGAGAAAAAGCCAATGTACTGCATTTTTGCTTGCTGAGCTACATCTACTCATGTTCTTATTTTACTGGAATCATATCTGCTACATACTATAGGTCTTGACGATATATTGATTTTCTAATACACTATTCGATTCATAACCAATATACTATGCTGTGGCCATGTATCGTGTTGTGAGCAAATCAATCCCTTGAATTGCCTACTTGGCTATCTAAAATGATCACATATATTAGAAATCTGACTTGTTTTAATTGGTTAATTAATGTCTGCAATTGTTTCCATTTGTCCAACTTTGATTTGGGATAACCACGATCTTATCCTGGTGACGTACGTTTTTTTGGCTATTGCTATTCTCCCCCTGTAATATCCATTGTTTATGCTGTATCTATCAGCTATCAATTGGGATTGGCTATCAAATACCAATGCTAAACGGAACAAGTCAGAAACTATAATTCTTGTTGCGTCGGCAAATGTAGTTTGGTTTTTTTTCGAACCAAGCTTCAACATGAATTGGATCATTATTCGCTAACTGGTGAAATGCATATTGCAGCAAATGCAGTTTTTTTATATAAGAAACGAAAATTAATTTAAATCCTACAAGAGCCACTTGGACATACTTTGAGCCAAGTATCTGAGATTCAACTATGTAGGATCACACACAATGTCAATGTCAAATTGGATGAAGGGCCATAGTCAATAGTGACTGCGAAGTTCAACGACATACTTGTCCTCTGTTTAAAAATACAGAATTATAAGATGCAGCCAAATTTGTCTTGCATGGTGTGGTTAATTGTTTAGAAACTATCTGGTTCTACTTCTACCTCTGTTTGAAGTTATATGATACTGTTAACTTTTTGCATAACGTTTGATCATTAGTCCTAGTCAAAATATATATATAAATATTACTTTTTAGTTGACTTGTTTTATCATCAAAGAAACCACAATCTTAACTCATACCTTTACATATTAATACTAAATTTTTAATTTTTAAATAAGATGGATAATCAAACGTTTTGCAAAAAGTCAACAGTATCATACATTTTGGGAGGGGAGCTAGTAAGACGTAATCTTGTCCTCCTTCATTGGAATATATTTACAACCTTTTGAATGCGTTATCCGTGTGACATTTACTGAATTATTTATAAATTCTTCGGTTTGCTTCTGACCAAAACACCATTAGCTGTGAGAATGGGATAGTTTCATTCCTTTCTAGAGTTTTTGCAGTCATTTTCATTCTCCCATGGAAATAGTAAAATATGTTATTGATATCGTAAGTACAATCCACCGTTTAAAATATATATCATTGGATCTTTCCATGATTGTCATTCTAAAAGATAATATTGTTTTTCAACGGTTCCTCAAGGTCTGCTCATAGCCGCCTAGCCTCATAGCTTGAATTAGATAAAGACTATTGGCACTTTTATACTAAAGCAAAAATAATGGAAGATGAATTTTATATCCTGGCATCAGGAGACTTTATATTCGTTCCATAAAAAACTACAATTTACAAGACGGGTAGACTAATAAACAATAGTAGAATCTGACGAAGAAAATAGTCTAGTATGATCAGATCCGAACGAAGAAAAGAAATTCAGAATGTATAAAATATATTGAGGGTACATCTTACACGTTTGAATCTTCCTGTTGCCGGATTTAATATTTAGTACTTGCAAGCAACTAATAAAAGTTGGCTATTAGAAAAAAAAAAGCTGCAAACTGCAATTGCCGATTAATTTGATATATTAATACTGTTGTTGCACCAGCATTGTCAAGCAAGCTTTGCCTGGCCATGCATTAATTTGACAAACACCATAAATTGATTTGAGTGACTAGCTTTTGGAAAAGTGATGCTGTCATTCAGAAAGAAATTAAATCCAGGTTGGAGTTTCTCTGCTTCTATTGCAAGTCACCGCTCATGCAAAACAGAGTGCGGCTTCTTGGGATTCTCCGGGTTAAGCAACCGAAATGTGTTTGATATGTGTCTATACTGCTGTGCTTCGAAAAAGAAATATGTTGTTTCTGGAAACCGGCAATACAAGTTCCATCATCTATTCCTATTGCAGTATCATAAAACTCGATTTAATAAGTCAAAGCTGATTTAAAAAATAATAATTTTAGGTAGAAGTCTTTGCTTGTCTCCTCAGCAATCATGAAACATAGTTGGCACACATGGCATCTAAATTTTAGACAGACATTGACATTCAAAATTTCGATCATACATTTAGAAATTTGGATCATAATTTTAGAGATAGTGGCCCATGTGAAATCGAAAATTTAGAAATAAAAGACAATTATTTGACTAGTTGTATATACGCTTATCCTATGCATTCTAGAGAGGGACAAAGAGAGAAAAAAAGTCTCGCTTTTTCCACGCGCATATATACTTCCCGAATAGCTAATTGATACTTTTCTTTTAAATTTTTTTATACAAAAGTTACTTTAAAAAATCACATTAATCCATATTTTAAGCTTAAAATAATTAATACTAAACTAATCATGATATGCTAATGGCTCATCTCGTTTTGCATGTCTTGTTAATTTTCTCCAACCCCCTCCTTTCAAACACTCTATAACATGTGTTCCGAGAAGGCCAGGCCATCAATTTGCTAATATGATCACTTAATGAAGGACGGCAGACGCACACGGTTGTGGCGAGAAGAGGAACTTCTTGGACGCCTCAGAAGCCACACAAGACTAAGCTGTCCACGTCATTGTCATGTAAAGCTCAGGATCTAGCTAGGTGTTTCTGTGACCTGTTCTGTTGTGTGGCCACAAGGCCAAACATGCCATCAATTCATGCGTCACAATTGAAGATGTGTGATTGATCATGGGTGAAATGGTACACGGGGCGGCAACGAGAGGAAAGGACTGAAGTTGACCTTGTTGGAATTGGCCGCCATGAGACCTGATGCAAATTCGTTAGACCAAGAGGTAAGATTTGAATTTGCACACATGAGACTTGATGCAATGGGTTCCATGAAAATGGAAAGTGAGCATGTGCGAAGATTCGATCCAAGTATTCATCAACCCGTAGATCGATCTGCATCGGTAGTATTCTTTGTATCCATTTTGCATATCTGTGTTGGAGTTTATTCAACTTAATATAATCTTAAGTTCTTAGCCTAAACATGATCACCTCTTACTCATGCGGAATTCAATCGATCTACTAACCTTTGATGTGAAGCCATTGAAGCCAGTCGTCAATTCCCTTTCTTACTGTTCTTCCTTATCTATTTCTTCTTTTCCGTAAAAAACTATGGGTTAGGAACTGGAAATAGTTGTATCCGTCCTTATGTCCCATATTATAAAATATATGTCAATTATATTATAATTTCACCTATAAACATGATAAAAGATTAGTTAATCACTATTTTTATGAGCTCACATGTAATATTATATAATTTGTTCCTTGATGTATCTCTTTTAGCACTTTAATTATCTTCTTAATTAGTATTAAATATCTATGAGTTAGAGATACAAATAAATATCCGTTCCCTAATCCGATTCAAAGAAAATAATATGAGAGATAGGATACGAGATGAGTGACATGTTATCCGATACTACCAGTATCCGGTTCCGAATTTAAAGGAAGAGATGGGTTAGGATATGAGAATGTTGTGATCTGACACTACCGGTACTCGGGCCGATTTCACCTCTAGCCCTGGCCTACTACTTGCCATGGGGCAGAAATATCCATTCCAAATTTTTATCTCTCCAATGAATATCTGTTGGATATTCTAGTAGGTTAGATTGTTAGTATATTCCTTTTCCTTGTTAATTTGAGTATTTCAGAAATTTCTTATTCATGCAGATATTTCTAGCCCCTTTTGTCAGTCTATAATTAACGTGAAGGCCTACATAATAAAAAAACGTTTGGTATAGAGATGACTAAAGATGATGTTTAATTACGTTAGCAAATACACTTTTCTATTAATTTGCAACATCTGATTTATGACAATCGGTTATGCTTTCAAATAAAAATAAAAATAAATACATGACATGTGGGTCAGGATAGCATATCTCAAACTTTGCAAAATTATAATGGCATGGTTCCAAATTACCCTTCAAATAAAGCCATAGGTGCCTGCGCTTCAGCTTTATTAATTGAGCTTTTCCACTGTTATTAGAGAGGAACTGCGAGCCATGCCTCTTAAAATTAAGTTGTGCCCATAGACAAGACTGAATTCTTATGCCTTGTACAGAGCCATAACATTTAAATTATTGTGTTAAGTTCAATGGTAAAATTTTGTTTGTTGAGCACTTCGATATTGAAATAAATATTTTTAAGACAGTGAATAACATGGACTCTGCTTTGACAGATTGAAGTTATAGTCACTTATTATAAAGTTTTTGGCTCAATCATTTGACCAATTGTAAATGACAGAATCAAAGGATGACGAGAAGACACAAGTTTAAAACACATCTACACAAAAAGAGAGATACATCTTATTTGAGTAGCTAACCTATTTAGTAAATGTTCATATAAAGTTGGCGCAGATCTGCATGAGCATTATACTACAGATTCTTATATGCAATGTGTATGACTTCTTTGTACTTATCACACCTTTATAGTTTGCCTAAAAACTATGTCAATATATTACCCTAAAAGGTAAATCTATATTACTTAAAATGTTAGTAGTGGTAGTGTCCATTTTCACACCCACCCTGTCACTGACATGTGGGTCTCATAATTTATACTATTACGTACATCACCATTTAATGAGTCATCTCCTGTTTTATAATTGACTCTTCCCAAATTTCAAAACCACCTATATGTTCAATAAGGAAAATCATAATATTTCTTGAACTAAGTGCTTAATAATTGATTTAATAAGGTAGAAACACTACTTAAAAAAAGCCCATAGAGATCGGCACTATAGGTGCCAGAATTAACTAAAACCGGCACCTATAATGCCTTTTCCTCCTCCGTGGGTTGAAAACATATAAAACCGATGCCTTTAAGCAATTATAGGTGCCGGTTTTACTTTAAAACCGGCACCTATTATAGGTGTCGGTTAATTAAAAACCAGCACCAATAATAAATTATAGGTGTCGTTTTTTTTTTAAAAAATGGCACCTATCCAAACCGAGCCGAGCTGCCGAGCCGATCCAGGCCGATGCATTGGCCTTATCCTATAAGTCAACCTTATCATCTCTATCTCTCTCTCGCCTCTCTCGTCTTCTTTCGCGCACACGGCGGAGGCAGTAGCAGTGGCGGTCGTGCCCTCCCCTCCGCTGGATCCGGCTGGAGGGGAGGCGGCGGGCAATGGGTGGCGGTGGTGCCCGAGGAGGTAGGCGGCGGCGCAAGAGGGGAGGCGGCGGGCGACGGGAGGCGGCGACGCCCTCCCCTCCGCCGGATCCGGCAGGAGGGGAGGCAGGAGGTGGCGGGCGACGGGTTGCGGCAGCGCCCTCCGCTCCCTCAGATCTGGCCAGCCGTCGTCGCCACTTGCCGCTGCCGTCCGCCACCCTCCAGCGCTACCGTCCGCTGCCACCGCCCACCGCCCACCGCTACCGTCTGCTTGGAGCGCCATCGCCTGGATCTGCGTCGCCGCTCCCTCCGTCCTCCTTCACCGCCGCCGCTCCCTCCAGCGCCCGCTCGCCCGCCAGCCAACGCCGACGCCGTTGGGCCCGTTGCCAAGAGGTTCTCCTCTCCTCTCCCCTCCCCTACAAGCTTTGAGAAAATATTTGATTGCCCCAAGATTTTGAGCATTGTAATGTCTGTGTTGTGAAATGGTGGATTCTTATAAATTAGCATTTGGTCATTTAGGATGAAATGCTGATGCAATTTAAGAATAATTTTGCAAATCTAGCTCACGAATTGTAGGTAGCAGCTGTTGTAGGATAATTGACCTCTCTTTGCATTTTTTTTTTGATTGGCCTCTCTTCTGCATCGACACAGTCCTCCACCGCCGTTGCCCTCCGACGCCGTCCTCCTCCCACTGTCCACCCTCCCTCCTGGTCACCAACACCGTCGTGTTCTTCTGCGTCGACTCCGGTCACCAACACAAGGTGATCGATCTTGCCTGATGCTGTAATTATGTATTATAACATATGCTTGCCTGGCTGATCGATCTTTGTGGTCCAGATTAATTGGGGAGCCGCTCTTTGATCATTTGATATGTGTGTGTTTTGAAATGGGGAAATTTTGGTAAATTCTTGTTCTGAAATGTATGCTGAACTTGATCTTTTCAGGAAAGATTAATTGTAAATTATGAGTTGTTGTGTTGATGGATAGGAGTAGCAGAAGATGAGTTGTGAATATCCTATTAGTATTAATAGAAATGAGTCACTGGAGAGGAGGGGTTAAAATGCTTTTGTGTAGCTTTGGGAAAGTTAATATAGAACTTGATGCAATCTGAAATCTGAACTTGATGGTGCAGTTTTGTATATGCCATGAACCTGTGTATTCCATGAATTTGAAACAATATGAGGATGCTAGAATGCAGTAAACCTGGAAATTTTCTTTTCATGACGTAGACCTGTTACAAATATCAATATTACTTGATTGCAATTTTTAGAATCATAGAATAGGGTATGTTTTTGCTGAATGACAGTTGGACAGCTGCCCCATATTTATTTTGTGATGTAATCTGAAATCTGAAAAATGTGAAGGATGTGGATGTGCAAGATGTGAATGTAATATTCTGTGACTTGTGTGGAGGATGTGGATGTGGAGGATGCGAATATAATATTGTGTCATTTTTGTGTTTCAGGATATATTTCTGTTGCGCTATTTATTTTTTTTGGCTTTTATTAGTATAGGTGCCGGTTCTTTATTGACACCTATGTGGTGAGTACAAAGTGTTGGCCTTTACCCCTTGTAGGTTCCGATTATTTGCAGGAACCGGCACTTATAGTACCATATAGGTGTCGGTTCTGATGGTATAACCGACACTTATAATATTATAGGTGCCCAATGATTTTGATCATTGGTGCCGACCAAAAGGTGTCGGATCCAAAACCGACACCTATTAGGCCTTAAGAACCGGCACTAATGGGTATTTTTGTAACGCACAGGCTATTGGCTAGTGCATATAAAATTTAGTTGGGACTTTATAAAAAGCCTCTACAATTTCTACTTAGCCATACAAACTAACATAAAGAGAATGCTCGTACTATAATACTACCTCCGTTTTTTAATAAATGACGCCGTTGACTTTTTCTCACATGTTTGACCATTCGTCTTATTCAAAAAATTTACGTAATTATAATTTATTTTGTTATGAGTTGTTTTATCACTCATAGTACTTTAAGTGTTATTTATATCTTATATATTTATATAAAATTTTTGAATAAGACGAATGGTCAAACATGTGAGAAAAAGTCAACAGCGTCATATATTAAAAAACAGAGGTAGTATGTTGTTTGGTTTTTAGTCAATACAAGCAAGCCAGCTCCTAAATATGTGAGAAATACTACATAGATGTTTTAGGCCAAAAGAGAACAAACATATATTCAAAGAAAATTAGCAAAATTAACAGTGGAAGAATAGATGCTAGAAAATTTCATTATGCATACAAAGGCATCATATTTTACTACCATTGCAATTCCTTCACACTAAATTGTCTTTGGCAAGAACTACTTAAAATACCACATAAAAATCTTTATTTTAAAAGGTATCTTTAATTTCTGCTCAACCTTGTTCCTCTCTATGTTTCCATTGATATTGATATAAATATAGTAACTAGGAATAATCCTAGGAAGATCCCCTTTCGAATGCAAGATTTTTTTCTTTGTCCATTGATATGAAACTTGAGCTGATTCTTTTAAAAATGACGAGGAATTCCACATTCAAATAGGCCATAAACACCTTTTTAGACAGTAAAGGATCTTTTCCATTCCAAAATCTAGCTAATGAGTTGAGGGGCTCCTCCAGTTATATATTAGGTGCCTTGCCTTTTCACAACCAATGTGGGACTATTCAATACTTTTGTCTCTGAAACTTTATGTACTCTTGTGGCATGTGTATATTGATACGATAATTTTATGTGGTTTACACCTAGCTATTTTATGTGGTTTACACCTAGCTTTCAAGACAATAATAATTAATAGATGGGCTACCAGTTTTTCAATATCATGAAATAGCTGAGGCTAAGAGCATCTCCAGTAGGGACCTAAACCTAGCCCCTAACTAAATTATGAGGGTTAACATGAAAAAATCAAGTCCAACAGAGACTACTATAGACCCCAAAGTGAGGAGGCCCCTGAATCCTCCCTCGAAGCCTCTAGTCTTGGCCCCTGGGGGCTCAACAGGATGGCCCCTATCGACATTTTTTCTGGTGCAAACATTATTTTCCCTTTGCGCGCTCATCTCACGTTCCCACAACACCCTGCGATGCATTTGTATCTCCTCCGGTTGCCATCGTTGACCCTGAAATTTTTACATTTTGGTCCTTTTTGAAAACTTATTTTACAAATAGACCCCTGAAAAAACTTAAACCGGAAATGGTCCTTTTTAGGACGCCAGAGTGGCTGGCGCCGTACCCCAACATGGCGGCGCCAGCCACACTGGCGCCGTGCCAATGCCACCGTGGCAATAGGGCTGTCGTGGAGGTGCTGACTAGGCCGAAGGGGGCGCCAGCCAAAGTGGCGCCGCCCCTCATACCACGGCGTCAGCATGGCTGGCGCGCCCCTCCTCTGCGGGCCCCACCAACTTTCTCCCCCCTAAAAATTTTCGCCCTGTTCTGCCTCCGGGCAACGGCTGGCGCCCCCCCCGACCGCGGCGCCAGGGTGGCTGGCGCTCCCCTCCTCCCCCCATCGAAGCCCTTCCGCCTCCGGGCCTCGGCTGGCGCCGCCCTCATGGACCACGGCGCCAGGGTAGCTGGCGCCGCCCTCCCCCAGCCCGAAACCCTTCTGCCTCGCGGCACTGGCTGGCGCCGCCCTCCCCAACCGCGGCGCCAGGGTGGTTGGCGCCGCCCTCTGCCTCCCTGCAAATTGAAGATCCATATTGCACAAATGTACCAATTCACAGTTCGCAATTCAAATCACAATTCACAGATTCGTACAGACTAAAACAGGTTCCAATTGCACAAATCACAATGCCAAAAGTCCATCACATAGTCCTCACATAGTCCATCACATATTCCACACATCAAACAATGCAAAAAGTCCATCACATATCCCACACATCAAACAATGCCAAAAGTCCATCCTATATTCCACACATGAAACAATGTCAAAAGTCCATTACATAGTCCTCACATAGTCCATCACATTTTATATCACATAGTGCACCACATATGTCATACTACCAACCAATAGATTAACTTCATACAAATTACTTCTTCCGTTGGCGCCGAATTGCTTGCGAGACCGGAGTGTACCTACATTTGAAAATCCAATGTTTAAAACATTTTAAAAACAAAATAAGGGAAATCAAATAACATTTGAGAATGGTAAGCTCATTTTACCTCTTTTTCGCTGCCCGAGTGGATCGCAAGTTGTATTGCGTGGGTTGCGTCCCCTGAGGCGCGTCGGGAAGCTGTGACATGTCTATCTCCTCGGCGTCTGGTGCGACGTAGTCCTCATCCTCCTCGTCCTCGTCGTCATCGTCGTCGCTAGGTGGAGCCGGCGCCTTCCCCTTTCCCCTCCCTTGCTTAATGCGTGACGACGACGAGCCACCAACTCCTTCACGCTCTTCTATCCTGATGGAGTGTCGAGCGATACTTGGACGCGCGGATTGAGGTAGTGGTGGTGGTAGTCTCCCCGGTTGGTACACGTCGTCCAATCCAACCGACCTGCAACCTAATCTTGCTGCAAGTTTCCGGCACCTTTGACGAACTTTCTGCATTTCAAAAAAAAAGAAGTTTGTTAGGCATAACTCAAGTAATACAAAGTGCTAAATAAATTTTACCTCTAAAACATTGCGGAGTGTGTTCTCCGTGTCCTCACCACCCCTCGGAGCTTGGAGGGTATGCCCCATTTCATTCACACTCCTGAGGAGCTCTCTCGACTGAAAGCGTGAGAAGATATATGTTAGGGTCTAGGGTGCAAATGGAAATAATTTTGACAAATGCAAGAAAACTTACGACTCTGTCTCTAAGTGGGGCGTGCTCCATTTGATATCCAACTCTAGTTCGGACATCATAGGGATTCCGCCCCTCATCGGAGTCGCGGTCATCCTCTATGTCGGCTTCCGTCCAAGTAGGGCGGAGGAACAGTCTATATGTCCTATGCAGCCAACGAAGGTACTCTGAGAAAAGATGATTTTGGTGTATAGTCTCGATGTACCTGTCGTTCCTTCCGGCTGTCCTCCATTCATCAATGTATCTATTATGCTCTAGCCCCCAGTCTTTCACCTTCTTTGTTCTCACCCTGTCATACCTAGACAAGTAGAAGGTGATGAAACAATAGTGAGCATCGACAAGGGTTAAATGGTACAAAATTGAACATTGACAATGAAAGCAAACAAAGATAAGAAATATTTACTTGTGTAATTCAACTCCAGTTGAGATGTCCTCAACCGGCCAATCTTGTTTCTTCCCGAACTGTCGCATGACACGGTGCGGAAGGTGGTACTCAACTGCCCAGAAACAAATCAATGGGCACTAGTACATGAAATAGTCAGAGTCTCGATTGCACATCGAGTTCAGGGTCAGGCTTGAAGCCTCATTTGTGTGGTATGGTAACCACTCAATTTGCAAAAGTTGAAGAGATGTTGTTGGTTAGTATCTCAATTAAAGAAGTAAATGTCTAACTAGAAGTGATATTGGAAGTACTTACATGTTGAGGCTGTAAGCAGTCCATCTCATTGACATAATGCTTGTATGCCACATTCTGGTGAGCATGTGCAGTGGCAGTACTCTCAAAAAGGTAGGCCACTGTCTTCTCCATGTCTGGCTCATTGTAGGGCCAAGGAGTGAAGCTTTGCCTCCACTTAGGCCTTCCAACCGGTAGTCTTAACCACATCCACATCTGAGTCAATAGCACACAACCACTCATGTTGGATGATGGTGCCTGACGACAACAGGCCTCACAGAGCTGTCTATATGTCCACGCCAACACTGCTGAGCCCCAACTGAAACGGCCCAGATCACCAAGGTTGGCAACCAAAGGAATCCATATCGCCGAAGCAATGTCACCCCCAGCATCAGGAAACAGAACCCCTCCCAACAAGTGCAAGATGTATGCACGGGCATAACACTCAACACGCTATGGCTCAGCATCGTCGTCAAGATGTGAGAAGTTCTGACTCAGCCAAGACAAGGGTATTCCATTCTGCTTCTTCTTCCCCCCTTGCCCCTGCTCAATGTTCAGTGGAATGCCAAACAGCTGCTGCACTTGTGCATGCCATCCAGGAGTCTCTGTCCTGCCCGTCACGGCATGCCCCTGTAATGGGAGGGCCAAGATCATAGCCACATCCTGTAGAGTGATGGTCATCTCACCACTGGGGAGGTGGAAGCTGTGTGTCTCAGGCCTCCATCTGTCCACAAGTGCTGTCAACGCAGGAGCGTTGAACACTGGCATT